GTTGACTTGTTGGTTTAGAACCTTTAATTCGTCGGCCTCTCCATGTCTCGTGTGCTATCGGCCGCGGTGTACCCTCGTAAGCTCATCACTGATGCCCGGCTCTGGAAGGCAGAGCGGAGCAGAGCATGTGTAATAATTCCAAGGTGTTTGCTGAGTCCGTGTTAGTCTAAAGTGCAATTGAGGGTGGAGAATCTCCATAAATACAGGTTTTGTGTGCAGAATCAGACCCTCAACAATCTCATGGTTCGGGGCAGGACTTTGATCCCCTGTCTTGAGGTGAATGAAGTCGAATCAAGTGCAGCTTTGTTTCAGTCTTTCCCTCGGCTCGTGTGGTTTATAATGTCGCATTCGCAGGCCGTAGAAATCCTGTTTTGGTGAAAACTGATATAATTTGCTGTAGTAATTATCTTAGTAATTAACTCTCTAATGACTGCGGTGTGAAAGTGCTGCGGCTCCTCCAGTGGCTCTCATGTGCGCAGTCATTATTTGCTCCCCTTCGTAATACAAGCTTCAAAGTGTGCTGATGCTGACTGGAGAGAGAGAGAGAATAGACTTGGATGCACCTCAGTAACCTCTGGGGACAATTATTGTAATTTGATTTGGATGACAGGCTGCAGGAAGAGTGTAGGGTGTGTGTTGGGTTTGTGGGGCATGTAGCATGTGTTGGGGTGTGCTTGGGGTGTAGTGGGTGTGTGCAGTTTCTAGACTTTCAGTCCCTTCACAAGACTAAATGAGTTCCCTCACACATTCACTGGGATCAGTCCTGCTCTCAGCGGCAGTAAACGTGCCATACACCAGTGCTTCCCAACCACGTTCCCGGAGCCCTCCAACACTGCACATTCTGCATTTGCCCTTTCTCTCACACACCCATTTCAGGTCTTGGAGTCTCTACTAATGAGCTGATTTGTTGAATCAGGTATGATTGAGTAAAGAAACATGCAGGATATGTAGTGTTGGTGGTACTCCAGGAACGTGGCAGCAGTGCTTCTGCCCCGTACATGTTTTTGCATTAGTGTTGAATTAGTTGTCCTTACAGCATAGGTTCATGCGCAGCATCCTTAAACCGTCTCTCGGGATGTCGTTTCCCTGTGATTGTGTTTCACGCGGGCCAGAAGCTCAGAGATGCAGGAAACAGCCGCAGCACTTAATGTCTCATAAACTCATCAGAGTGATTAGCAGACTAATGAAGAGACGAGATGAGGGGCGGCGGGAATGCAGCACTACGATCAGACGTGGTCCCTCCAAGGCCCTGTTTATGATGTAATGAGATAATTGCCGTTACAGGTAGCAGGTTAATTATACGTGTAATTACTCAAGCGCTTCACACTGGCTTTTCTGAAACACTGTTGGCATATGATTATCATCTTCAACCTTTGAATGCTGATGATCCTTTTACTTTCTCCTGACATTTGCAAGGTTGGTTTGATAAAGGTTTTTAAATATTTTTTCCCGTGATGCTTCTTGTTCCATGCATAAGCCAAACAGTGTTGCCACATTTTCATTGTTTTAACACAGGGTTTACAGATTCAAAAATCTTAGCATTGCTGGGATGACACTGATATGACTGTGTGTGTGTGTGTGTGTTATTAAGCTGCTTCCTCATACAGACGTCTAATTAAAGCGTTTTATTCCACTTCATTTACAACCAAAAGAGAAGCTTTAGTTCTTCAGTGCAAACAACCGCACATTACATCTGCAGGAAAACAGCATGGCGAGAATGACTGTGAGAGCGCAGCTGTTGGAGTTTAGCTTATTCAGAGCTAAATGAACTGTTGCTCATGCATGTTTTTTGAGTAGTGGTTGACTAGTCTATTAGTTTTGCTACTAGTCTGTGTTGACTACACTGTAAAAATGTACAACATAAAGAAAGTGAAGATTTTGAGCTTAATTTTTGATGAAGAAAATCAAGCTGAAACTCAAAAAATCATGAACGTGTGAGTGGATGAGTGATTAGCGTAAGGTAAACACTGCCCCACTGACTGCTTTTCTGTATGAGAGGACTAGTGAATAGGAGTAGTCAGGTTGGGAGCAGGGCTGAGGTGTGCGGTCTCCGTCCTGACCTCTCTGTTTGCGGGTGAGTGCAGCGGTCCGGATCACCGCTCTCCACCGAGAACACCCTCAGCTCAGTCCATGAGGAGCAGGAATGGTGCTGTGGACGGCGTCTCAGCAGGAGGCTGTAATTAGTGTCTTTAAGCTCAGCCTCTGACGGCACTGCTTCCACATTCATGCCCCATTAGCCTGAAACAAATGTCCGAGCTAACTAATCGGTGACTGCGACTCTCTTCAAGACAAAGGCTGGATAATGTGAAGCGCTTCAGCCCACTTGATTTGCCTTTTTACTCTTTTCTCATTGCAGTTGTTGTGATTACATGTGTAATATAATCACACGGTCTTATCGTCCTGCTTCAGCGTCTACAGAACATTTGACGTTTTTGCCTACATTGTAAAAAGGGCTAAATTGTAATTATTATATTGAAAAGCTAATTCTACCTGATTTAATCCATGAAAATTGTTTTGTTGATACAGCGATATTAAATAATATTTTTGACTGAAATATAACTAGTTTAGATTTAAAAAGTTTTTCAGTGTAACTAAAACAAATCAGCTATGTAAATTTCTGTTGTGATAATTCAGCAGCCAGACGCTTGAGGTCATGTTATATGGCGAATATAGTCACAGCTACAGGGTGTGGGACATTATCCCATCATTTGAAACAGTGTGTATTGTGAAAAGCTATTCAAATAAAATTGACTTCACTATATATATATATATCATTTTTTAAATAATGAGTTAACAGCTTTGAAACATTCGATTGACCAATTGCCAAGAACACAGACTGATATGCAGATCCATATTTCATAATTAGTCTTTAATGGTGAGAAACTCTAGTCTGAGTTTTACAGTTGTTTTTTCTGTTGTCTATTTTATGTGGGTCAGTGGGATCCAGTTTAATGTGGACACACACTGTATGTCTCTCTACAGGCTCACATGCTCATGCACATGTACATAGTGGACACGTTTGAGCCAGAAAGAGGCAGAGAGAGAGAGGGGGCATGTTTTTTCCTTCTCCAAGGGTACTGCTTTTCCAAAAGTGCCTGGGGCGAGACTGCAGCACCTCGTCTCCCGGAGGCCTTTGGGCATCTCCTAATAGGCGCCCCCCCCCCTCGTCTGCCCCCATCTCAGAGGTGCATGATGGGATACTTCCCCTTCCCCCTCTCCTCTTCTCCTCGTGCCGTCCTCATGTTTTGTGCTGGAGTTCACATCCGCACAGGTTCAAATGGTAGAGTTGCCAGGGAACAGTCAGAGGCCATTAGTGTTTGGGACGATTCGCCCTGCGGCGCTGCAGCTCTAACCAGTGAGCGGGGGGGCCATGTAGATTAGCAGCTTCACATGTAATGAGGAAGTTTGCCCTTTCTTTTCTTTTCTTTTCTTTTCTTCTGCCTCTGTCTTTCTCTCTCTGCCTGTCTCTGTTTCATGGCACTAATCCTGTCGCATAATTTTTTTGATTATTTCCACTCCTTTGACTCACTGTCATGTGTGGGACCATATTTTCACTAGTGATAGGGTGATATTTATTGGGCCAGTTTATCGGCTGACTTTTGGATAGATTATTGGTATCAGCTAAATACACACCCCGCTATCAGTGCTCAAATGTACCAACAGGATAATTCAATTTTTTTGTGTAAAATGAGTGTCCACTGCATTTCAGCAATTTTGTTTACATTTCATTCTCTGTACTTGATTTATTCTGATCTAGATCTGTTGAACACACACTGATCTCCACACATGAGTGTGTGTTTAAATTGTGTATGTATAGATTTGGTTATCAGTGAGTGTGTGTGTGTGTGAGGGGCGTCTGGTTTCACCCCGAGCGGTCAGGGGCCGTAGGGTAATGAAGCGATGGGTCGGTCTGTAAACACAAGCGGGTCGCTCCGGCCGCTGTGAGCAGTAGGCTATCATGTTGCAGTGAAAATGAAAACGTCAATAAAATTAATCTCGCCACCTTTTGGCCTGCTCTGCTCGCTGTGGTCCACTCATAACACACCACAACAAGACGAGTTTACACTCCCAAACACACACACACCTCCTCCACTGATGTCATCAGAGCAAACGCCTGAACTCGCGCTCCGTTTGGCCTGCGTTTGACCACCACACAGGTCTGTGTTGTTCTGAGCGTCTCTGAATGTGCAGTTTGAATGAGTGTGGATTTCGGGCGTTACGAGAATACGAGCCACTACACGCCCTACGTGCATCTGTGAGGTCACTTCCACATCATTAGCATGGATCCACGCGGCGAGGGCGATAAAACAGCACTAGAGAGAAAAATAATAGATTAAAAAGAGAAGGGAAGGAAAGGCTTTGAACTGTCCTTGTATTCTTCATGTATTTTGCATTTGATTACGCCACCCATCGGATCTGTTCTCTTTCCTCCTTTTTAAAGTGATTAGTTGAAATATTAATGTGTGATTATTGCTCATATAGGTGCGCGTGATTGATGTCTCCCCAAAAACAGAGAGACGTGCAAGTGTAAATTTGTAGAATATCGCAGCGTAGCGCAGGAGTTTTTCAGATACATAATTTAGATGCCCTGAAGGAAGGCTTTCAAGGCATTTTCGCCCAAGGCCAAGAAAAAATAACTGACTTTTAAAAGTAAATCATTTTTGCTAATGCACAATTTATGGCAGAGGAGAAAGAAAGTAAGTCTGGGAAGTAGGTTATGAAGAGACCCGACCTGCCCTCACACATGCACAAGGAGTGTCAGGCGTGCTCGTGATATGCAAATGAGGTGCAGGAAGGGGAGGGGCTGCAGGGTCGTGCATGTGTGTTTATCACATTGATGCTTTTGTCTTTGCACCAGTCCTCAGTATTCCTGCATGACGTCAAGCAAAATAAGGATTTGACGTAAGGGTGTCTCTGTCTTTTAGGGTTTCTGTAAGTTTGTGTAATGTTAATGTGTAAGATTGTGTGCCACGTTTCTAAAAAGCTCTCCTTTCGTCCAGGAGATGGTTTAGACAACAGTGTGGCCTCACCCGGCACGGGCGACGATGACGATCCAGACAAGGACAAAAAGCGACAGAAAAAACGGGGCATCTTCCCCAAAGTCGCCACCAACATCATGCGGGCATGGCTCTTCCAGCATCTCACAGTAAGCCTTTGTTTTTTCTCTTTATATGCTCTTTCAACCTATGATTGGGAAAATGTGAGCTACAAGTAAAAGTGCTGAGATCTCACACTGAACTCTTACAAACCAGAATTAATATACTTTCATTGACATAAATATAACAGTTAGATCCGGCCCTCAGATCTGATTGGACATTGAAAGAATGCCAACAGCACTGGGACTTTTCACTGTTTGCATCACTCCACTTCACTGTGTTGTTTTACTCAGCGACACGCAACAGTTGATCCTGATTTGGCTCCATTTGGAGCGGTTTTCATTTGAACAGCTGAAATAAATGATTTAGCTATATTGTGAGCTTATGTCATCCAATATTCAGTATCAGAATATAAGCAATTTCACACTTGCATTAAGTGCTGCCTTGTGTATACAGCTGAATCACAGCTGTAGTGATACTCACAACAAATGCAAATGTACTAACTAACTGGCAGTGATTGACCACTCTAGTTCTGATAATGCTGTTTTTCATAAGTTCTTCCCAAAGCACATTTGTAGGGTTCAGTGTAAGTCTCTGCTGGTCCAAACGCTGGCTGTTGTAGCACGAGAGAGCGCTGTGTGTGTGTGTCGGTTTGGATGGGTGGCATGCAGGTCGTGTTCCATCGGCCTCTCTGATGTCACGACATCATCCGCGGCTCAGGATATATCGATCAGGACAGGAAGGGTCAGGTTTCTGAAGGAGCTGCTGCTGTCCCTGAGCACGTGAACGCAGCGTGTGTTCCACAGGAAACTGAGAACGGCTGCTGTGTTAGGACTGTGTGTGTGAGAGACATGTCCTGCAAACCCTGAAACAGCCCAGAGTCCAAGTCTGGACCCGGTGATCTAACCCGAGCCAAAACAATAACGCTCCTTAAATACAGCTAATTAAAACAGGCGTAAATCCATTAGAAAGTTCTGTGGGATAATCCGAACTCTGCCATGCGCTTATAACTCTCATCATCATCTTCAGAATGACTCCACCGCAGCCCAATTTGACAGACAGACAAAGACGCTTCGCTTTTCTCAGCTTTATTCTTGTGCTCTTTTCATTTGTCGTCCCCTTCACACTCCCAGAACCGCTTGGTGTTCTCAGCTTGTGTGTAAAGCAGTGAAGAGGGAGGCGTCAACCCACCACCTACCTCGCCGCTTTTACCCACAAACGCCTCCCGCTTCATTCACTCTGCTCCATATCACGCAGGAATTTCGCACTTTTTTCAAAGATCATTAGGCATCTTTACTGGCAGCTCGGGAGATCTCCATTCACAACATTCACAAGAGATGCACTCCTGTTCTTTGAGAGTTCCTGTTCTAAGGAGAATTTTCATTAGTGGAAATGCAGAAGTTTCCGTCGTCCTTTTAGATGTTTCTCTCATTTCAGAGTCTTTTATGAGCATGAGCAATAATCCATCCTTTTTAACCCACCTTTCTATTTTTTCCATCCTTTTCTGACCAAAGAGACTTAATTGAATTATTCCGAAGTACCGACCGCAGCCCCCCGCACAATCCTTTACACCTCATGGCCGTGCCACACACTAACACATCAGGCCTTTTATTTTAATTTGTTAAGCAAATGTATTTTCCAGTTCAGGATGCATTTGTGCGCGGGTGAATTCATGGGGACTTTGGCCCTGAATGGCCCGTAGCGGCAGCTCTCCATTCAACCATTCATTGGAGGGGGCAAAAGAAAAGCGGCGAGGTTGTATTTTCTCAACCGCGGGGCCAAAGCGGAGCTGCTCTTCCATGAGCACTGGGGGTCCCTTTACATATGTTCTCAACATTGAGCCATTGTCACCTATTCTGAGGGGCTCAAAAGGACGTAACCCATTCCCTCCCCCCATTTCCATCCCCCACGCTCACAAAAAAAAAAGCACCGGCTAACAGTTACAATTGTGGGCTGAAATCGATGGCCTCCTCTTCCAACTCTCCCTCTCTGATGCTCTGAGTCAACCCTTATAAGGAAGAAGTCTCTCTGAGCCAACAGCCAATCCCACAGAGGTGCAGAGGATGGACCCACAGGAGATGCATGTGGCACATTCAGCACCTGACCGAAATGCTTTTGTAGAACTTTAGAGTTTGGGTCAGAATGCGCTGCAGTCGAAGCCCCAGAGATGTGTTCTTCCTCCTGGAGCACTCTGGATCTCTTCCAGTGCCATTAGCGGGAGGAAATCCCAGCTGGCTGCTGTAAGATTTCCCATACGGCACAGAGCTTATGTTATCAGAAAGATAAACTCCACTGTGGGATGTATTGCTCTATTAGGCTTCATATTTAATGAGCAAGAAAGAGAAGGACCTTCTCCACGGCTCACAGAGAGAAACGCAGGGCAGCGGTGAAGTGTAGTTTGTACCGACATCGTCGCAGGGTCATCCAACAGTTTAATGGAGACAAACTTTGAATCCTCTCAATTAGTCAGTTGGTGCCCTCAGCGTGTCTCCTGCTAAGATGAGGGTCAGCCTGCAATGAAAACAGGAAGCACTCAGATACAAAGATAGCACTCCAGGGCTGTGCTGTCCTTTCACTTGGGTAAACCTTCAAAAAGCTGTGAAAGTAAATAGGGTCGTTTGAGGATGGCCTGAAAGGCGACTCAACCAATGGCATGAGTTTGGGGTGGGGCTGTCTGGGGAAAACTGAATATTTATTGGAAAATAATTTAGGGCAGGACTAATCCATAAATCCACCCAATCTATATCCTTTTTATCCACCTGGATTTGATCAGGTCATGAAAAGTGAGCTGTGATATTGGCTAATGTCATTTTAACCCAACAACAACAAAAAAATACCCAATTTTTATGTCAGCTAAAGAGTAACTTCAGTGGTGGAGAAAGTTATTGCATGATGTTTTCTACAGACACTTATTAAATATAGGGCCATTTAATAATGAGGGTTGACTTGTTGACTTTAGTGAATCAGTGAAATACAGGCAGCTGATGGAAACATCCTTAACCAGAGACATAGCTGCAAGTGTCACATGTTAATTTCTCATCTGCCGCCTTTGATTCACAAGTTAAAATCCTCATCAGATATTTGTGTAAGCAAATAAACAGGATCAGCCAGTGATCAGCCTGTAGAGTCACAGTAAAGCAAACAGACCCGTTCTTGAGGCTCATCTTAGACTAAACATTTGGGCTGTTCTGCTTTGACTACAGCTGTTTGCATGTCTGATTCACGTCAGTGTTAATTTCCACTGCAGAACATCTGACAACAGTTTCAAACAATGGGCATACACAAACACAAAATGCACATTTAAAATACTCAAATTTTTCCTCACTTTCTCTCTCTCTCTCTCACACACAAAAATGAAATGTGGTCTGTAGGTTCTCTTCACCCCCGCCGCATGTAAACTCTGGGTTTTCTCAGGAGAGGTTTCCTCCCTCACTGTGTGCTGTAATGCAGGGCATTCTTAAAGCAGCGGTTTCATTTAAGGCCCAGCGAGGTTGTTTTGTGATGCTCCGGGGGGTTGCAGTGGGGCAACACTAATCTATCATGGGCTTGTTTGCCCTCTGTCAGCAGTGCAGCCTATATAACAGTTCAAGTAACTAACTATTAACATTACGACAGTTTTGCTAACTTTAACTGTACTTATCAGCAAAATTCTTACCATATCTGAAAGTGAAAGCTGGCCATAGGAGAAGGCATTTTACACTAATGTGTGCTTTTATACCCCTTGTGGCGATGCTGAGAATGCAACGCAGTTTTGGTGAAGCTGTGTACTGGATAGTGACCCTAGAGAAAGGACAGACTCTGGCTGCTGTCTGCCATTTGTTCTGTTGATTCCTTCTTGTCAAACTGAGTTGTAAATCTAGAAATCAAGTATGTCACTGTAAACTGCACACTGCTGCAGTCAGCTGTAAGTGCATGTTTGTCAGAACCTCTGAATCAGAGAGGTTGAAAGTTCAGATGTCCATATCGAGTGACTCTTTTGTTCTTGCAGGTCGTGGAATTAAATGAGAAGCCACATCCACCTTCCTCTCATATGCAAGGACTTAAAAATAGCTGCTCTCCATGTATGTTTGCAAATCTTGGTCATCAGTGTGCCTGGGAAGAGGCTTTGGCATCAACTAGCATTTGGCATTAAGTTGTTCAGCATCAACATTCACTTTGCCTCTTAAATTAATTTCTGTTGTAGGTGACATTTAAAGATCTGCAGCATACACTAACATGCTTCAGCATTCAAAGGTGCTGTTTAGGCAGCAATAACAAAAAAAAGTACATTAGATTATTCTCTGATTTTAGGCACTTCCTTTAATGAGATTTGCTTTTAGATCACTGTGTCCATGTTTTGAACTGTTGCAGCTGACTTATGCTTAAATATGGCAGTTTGTAATAAAATGTTTAACCTGAAGGCAGTTGTTGTTCCTTTATCTTGATCTTGTCTTTGAGCATCATCCTGTATATTGTGTAAGTTATGGCATGTTTATCATGTTTCGATGCTTTTTAGAGATAAACGAGTCTTTCTGAACCTCAGAGACAGAGCAGAATCTTTCAGTTGAGGGATGACCTTGCTGACACTTGGAATGTTCCTACATACTCAGACTGAGTCGGTATTAATAAAGATGGCTTGAACAGGCTGGAACATGCTGTTCCATGCATGTGTGTGTGAGGGGAATGCATCTACTCTGACATGAAGATGCACATAAACAGTGAGAAGAACAAGAACTTCAGTTTATTAACTCTAGATCTCACTGGACATATCTGACCTCCACGCAGACAAGTACACAAGCCAAGATGCCAATGCCTGTCCAGAAGATTGCAATCATGTGGTCCAGATTTGTTGTTATTCAGGAAGCTGTTATAAATTTGTGGAAAGTTTAACTAACTTGCTCAGCCTGATTCTCTTCAAACTGTTGCTCCTCCATAGCAGTTGTTGACGTAAAAGAGCAAACCTGTGATAGTAGAAGATGCTAATTCCTGCTGTAGCACCTTTTCAGAGAGGCCATAACTAATAAATTGTGTTTGTGTGAAATCAATGCATGCATTCTCCTACTTATGTCGA